TAAATAACTTTTTGCCTTATGGCATGTGCACTTGCCAGATAGAGAGAAAGAGATAGAGACAGTGAGAGGAAAAGTGAGAAATTACCCCCTAGGGTGGATGGTCACACCATAATCCCTTCTACTCCATTCTTCTCTGGGGATCTTGGGCATGCATGGACATGCACACAGTATGAGTTTCAAGCCACCAGGTCCTAGACTTGTTCCATGGTCAGCCACGTAGGACTCCAGCAACATAACTGCTACACCCATCTGCTGGCCCCAAAAAGTAAATTTCACTTTTTTTTTTATTAATGATTTTTTTGTTATAGGGTACATGTGCTCAATGGAGAAACAGAGACAGAAAATGAGAAATCACCCACCGAGGGGATGGCCACACAGCAATCCTTCTCCTCTATTCTCCTCTCGGGATCTTGGGCACTCACGCACACACGCCTGGCGTGAGTTTTAAGCCACTGGGTCTGGGACTCAAACCACAGTCAACTAAGTGGGAGTCCAGTGACATGACCATTATGCCATCTGCTGGTCCCTAAATTTCACTTTAAACAAAAAAATTGACTCCACTACTCTCTTTGCTTCTTTTATGTCAGTTGGTCACACGGTCTGTGGGAAGTCCAGGGAGAACACTAGGAGTCACACCATGATGAGAAGTTACAGTATAAATCAATCGCTTCATTTGTTCACTTTCATATGGAAGCGCATTGTTCAGTGAGGAAGAATTATGGCTTACATTACCTAGTTTCAACTAAACCAGCTTTCCTATAATGCATAACTGGTTGACAACAAGATTCCTGTAAAAAAGTCAGGTGTTATAAAACTAATAATGTAAGACACACACACACACACACACACAGACATACATTAATATAGGAGCTGATGCTATTCACATTGTTACAAGTTTTTCATCAGTTTTCATAACAAGGCAAATGTAATGATTATCAAGTTGGATCAGATCTGACATGAAGTTATCTGAGCATATTTAACACTACCCAAAACACTGTTTAAAATCTATAGCTATTACTGATAATAGTAAGCCTTACTATAAACATATTGATAATGTACTTTGGAGTTACAGTCAGCAGTAGTATGATACTATAACAAAATTTTTCACTATAATGAATAAAAACATTTAGAATCTTCATTTGAATGTTCTATTTCAATAGTGAAAAACAATAATGTCACGTATCATTTGGGGAAATATTTTCTGTGATATGAAAAAAGAATGGATCAAGTAATAGATGGAAACAATAAGGACAAATTAAACTGAATTCCTTTAATAGCAAATAATGTTGGAAGGAACAAAGAAATGATTACTTTATTAGAAGAAATTAAATAACAAAAAGTTTGGTAATAATAGAATCAAAATATGAGTTTTTTTTTTTAAGAGAGATTTTTGCTAAATGGCAAGTGTGCTCTCCAGAGAGACAGAGATCATCCCCCTGGAGGAGATGGTCATACTGCATTCCCTTCTCCTTCATTCTCCTCCCAGGATTTTTGGCATGTAAACATATGCCCAGCACGTTTTAAGTCACCGGGACTCAAACCATGGCTGTCTATGTGGAAGTCCAGTGACGTAACCATTATGCCATCTGCTGGTCCCATGAATACTTCTAATGTGCTGGGTTCATAATATTCTCTATTTCACTTTCAATTAAAAAAAGTTCAAAAATTACTATTGTGAGTCCCTAAGGAAAAATATATCAGTGAAGATGTAGCCTCAATATTGAGTGATTTGCTTAATAAAAGTATATTAATAGGTCATCAGGAAATTCATGACATAGTTTTCTGTTTTTCTATGCAAAAATGTGTCATGACTTTCCCGACAACCCAAGCTATTTTAATGAAAAAACTGTATACTAAATGTGGAGGACTGGCTTCTCTGCCTGAAATTTTTACTTAAAGGTAATGCTACAGATACAGCAGTACATGTGAAATTCATTCACCGAATTTGTTATAAGTTAAGCCAGAACTGAATGGAGAGCCTCAGGATGTAATTAATATAGTGTGTTATAGGGGCTAGCAGATGGCATAGCGTGACAGTGCTGGATTCCCACATAGCCGACCGCAGTTCAACTCTTGGACCTGGTGGCTTGAAAATCACGCCAGGCATGTGTGTCTGTGTGCTCTAGATCCTGGGAAGACAACAGAGGTGAAAGGACTGTGGCGTGTCCATCCACCTGGGGGACGATTTCTCACTTTCTTTCTCAGTGTCTTTTTTTCTTTCTGGTGAGTACACGTGCCCAGAGGCAAAAACCTCTAAAAAATGTTATATATATATATGTATATATATATATAAATAGTGTATTATATACTAATGAGATTTTATACTTTGAAAATATTTTTAATATTTTGTACTGACATAGAAAATAAAAACTGTGGGACTAGCAGATGGCATAATGGTTCCGTTGCTTAACTCCCACATAGTCAACCGTGGTTTGAGTCCCAGACCGGCAGCTTAAAACTCACAGCGAGCGTATGATGTGTATGACCAAAACCCAAGAGCAGAATGGAGGAGAAGGGACTGCAGTGTGGCCAGCCACCCTGGGGGGTGATTTCTCGCTTTCTGTATCTCAGTCTCTCTCTGTCTCTCTGCCAAATGCATGTGCTGTATAACAAAAATCTCTCTGTAAAACAAAACAAAACAAAAAAGTATCATATCTGCTCATTTAACAAACTTTAAAACAGAATATTTTGATCTGCTTTAAACCTTACCAGTGAAGAATTCCACTGTGTTTTAAACCATGTGCTAAAAAAACATTTAAAAGGTCCACATTTTCTGATAATTAACAAGAACAAATGATTGGCAATAGGGAAAATTAACATTTATTTATGGAATTGCTATGATTTTGGTTTTTTAACTGTTTTTCAACTTCATACATGGAAAACAGTAGCAAAATTTGGTAAGTACAACCTTTGATCTACTTATTCCATGTTTGGTATGTCCTAGTGAATAATTCTTTTTCCCTATGGATATTCATAAAGAAAACATAAATATATCAAATAAGCTTAACTTTGAAGCTGGATTCCAAATAACCATATCATAAATTTTTATACCAAAATTTTAAAAAATTACTAAATCATAATCAGTATTCTCTTTAAAATATCAATATTATTAATCACCTCTTAATGTGATCAACTGCATCTATATTTAAGTGAATATAATAAATATGATAATATTAGCTCATTTCAATGAGTTTTATTTTCTATTCTTTGTGAATGTTTCGTAATATAAATAATATACTACTAAAGTAGTGCCTACATCTATAAGTAAGCAAATATATAAACAATGTGATGATGAAAGAAAAAGTCATGATAAAAGAAAATAATAAAAAGAAAGTGATAAATATGCAAAATAAAATCCAAGGTACTGCATTAACAAAATATCTGAGGAAGTCTTATTTATATTGTATATTGATTACAATAGAGAATTATTAGAAATAGATGATTAGTTAAATTATCCAAACCTGGAAAACACTTACCTTCCAACTATTAATAGTAAGGTAGAAAGAGAAGGCATGGTGACTAGTAATTAGATTACTAAGAATCTTGGCAAAAGATCATGAGAGTTGCAAGCAGGTTAGTGTCCTTAGGAAAAGGAATTAATTGTCACAAGTGTGATGGCTGAATGTGGGGAACAAAGGGCAGGTAAGAGGAAACTTAGATCACAGAAAGACTGGTGACTGGGAGGCAGGCGACAGGTGAATGATGGTGCTATTATTAGAAATAGAAATGTGGAAGTAGAAACTGCTTCTACAAAGAAGTGGGTAAGATTTAGACATACTCAGTTTAAGTTTGCAGTAAGACCTTGAAGTGAAGCTATGTACTGAGTACTTGGAAATGCAGGTCTGATACTCAATAGGGGCTGAAGATATACAAGTGAATTGGATGGAAATAATATAAAGCACCAAGTTCTGAAAAATGTTTAGGAGAAGCAATGCAGAGTAGTAGTGGTAGTGGTGGTGATAGCAAAATGTAGTCATTAGATGGGAGCTTATAAGCATTTCCTTTCCTTGACTTTCATGAGACTCATTGACATAATGAATAAAGACTAGAATTCATTTAATGTGTGATGTACCATATACCAGAGGTGTGTTAGTATACATGTGTTAAACTGTAAACAACAACAACAACAAACAGAATCAAAGTGGAAACAGACTATAGTTTCTACTGGAGTAAGTTTTAATACTAATAAGTGATTTATTTTCTCTGTAAGTCATTGCTATCATCTGTGTATTAATATTTCTTGGTCAGATATAATGTAGGAAGTCTTTTAACTCTTAAACAATCAGTGTGTCTCTAAAAATGATAAAACTCTTTATGAAAATACTGGTTAAGAAGAGGTAATCTTAAATTCATCCACTAAAAAGACAAGAATTACATGTTACTTCAAATTATGCTTGGACTATAAATAGCCTTCAACATTAAACACAATGGGCAAAACTTCTGACAGAATATATCATAAAAAAGTCATGCTAAATGCTAAAATAATCTGCTTTATTAACTTTAAAATAAATTTTGTTTAAGATTTTAGCCAAATCATCTTTTTTTGTTTGTTTGGCAATTATGTAATATTTGAGCACACCTTAAAGTTTTTCAAGTGGGAGAAAAAACAAATGTTGACATTTGTAAAACTAAATGGTGAAGTGATTAAAACTTACATAAAGACACATTATTTTAGATAAAAGGAAACTTTGATTTTATGTCAATAAAGGGAAAAATTAAGAATTTAAGAAACTTCTTTATCACTAATATGATTTTGATAAATTATTTTATGTCATAAGAGACAGAAAAATAAATTTTATATCCATGCTTTATGTAAACTTGATAAAGTTGTTAAAATGCCAAAGTTGTCCATTTCAGGAAGCCACTGTTACATTTGATTGGAAATGCCATTCATTGTTTGAAAGTCTTCATTTATATAGCTATTATGTAACTTATTACTTGTGTAAAAATTAGTAAATTACATATATGAGACTGTGTACAGGTAGGAAAATGTAACTTACTGTTTTTTCTTTTCCAGTTTCCATCTGATCCAATTTTGCTATGCTTGCTGCCTGTGGCTGTTCTTTTATTTTTGTGGTGGTTTTGTCATCTTCCTTAGGCAAACTCTGAGGCAAGTCAGATGGTAACTTTTCTACCAGGGTCTCTGCTTGTTTCTCCTCTTGTATTGCCTCAGGAGCCACTCTGCCTTCAGGCTCTTCGTGAGCAATTTGTACTTGAGTTTTAAGTAAGTCATGTTTCTGTTCCTCTTCTAGGACTGATGTTTTTGCTAGTGGGGGTAACTTTTTATCTTCAGGGGTTGTCTTCTTTTCTTCTGGGACTTGCTTTTTATCTTCTGGGGGTAGCTTTTTTATTTCAGGTGGTGGCTCTTTCTCTTCAAAGGCCACTTTTTTTTCTTCTGGGAGTGGCTTCTTTTCTTTGGGTGGTGGGAGTGGTTTCTCTTCCTTGGGAGGTGGCTTTTTTTCTGGAAGGGATGAAGATTTTTCTTTTTCTAGTTTTTTCTCTTCTTGTTTTTGATCTGTAGTTACCTTGCGGGGAATTTTCTCAGTTGAAGGTGTTTCTTTTCCTTTTTCTGGAATGGCTTTTTCAGCGTCTGCTTTTATTTCTTGTTCCTTCTTTATCACTTTTACCTGGGCAGGCATTGTTGTTTTCTGAGATGTTGGTTCTGTAGGAACAGGCATAGGGGGTGCTTTGGGCCCTGATGGTGCAGGTAGCATTTTGCCCATGTCTCCAAGTTGTCCTGACATTGCTCTCTGGGTTTGGCAATTTAAACAAAGCCATTCTTGAATCTGTAAATGAAACAGTAATGAATAGATTAATTACATTGTAAATGTGTCTTTTTGGTGCATTTACCAATGTGAAAATCCAGAATACCTGAGGTTTTTGTATCTGGAGAAGATGGGTCACTGTTTTCTAAATCAATGACACATTGATTTCTACCAAAGGTTACAAAAAGACAATTTTAAGACTAAAAATATGTGAACTGTCTAAAGATTAGCAATTCCCTATCCTAACCATAAATGAAGAAAAATACAAAGAAAGAAAATTACATAGAAGTTGGACCCAGGAAAATATCCACATTTAGGAGGAGGAAAAAAATCTGTATTCGTTCCAAGTAGAATTATTTTTAAGCCTCATGCTATCAAAATTGCTATTTCTAGGGACCAGCAGTAGGTGTAATGGCTATGTTGCTGGTCTCCCATGTAGTTGAATACGGTTCGAGTCCCGGACCCAGTGGCTTAAACTCAGCCAGGTGTGCGCGCGTGTGTGTGCGTATGCCCAAAATCCTGAGAGAAGAATGGAGGAGAAGGGTTTGTGGCATGGCTATACGCCCTGGGAGGTGATTTCTCACTTTCTGTCTCTCTTTCTGGCGAGCACACGCACCCTATAGTAAGAACCTCTCAAAAAAAAAATTTCTAACTTAAATTTGTTAAAACAAAATTATGTTTTATAATACCTTTCTTTTTAATAACCAATTAATCAAAAGTTCTTGTAGGATTTAGCCTATTTTAGTCTATCTCTTGATTTAAGCCAGTATAGTTGTATCTACCAGGGTAGAGCTTTATAAGCATAAAGTTTTTGAGAATCACGAATAATTGTCTATCTGCTTTCAAATTAAGAAAATAATTTCACTGTTCAAACTAATCATGTTTCCTCATCAGTCGAGGAAGAAGTATTTGCGGCTCAAATTGTTCAGAATCTTTTTCCAGTGTGTTATGGTTTGCTGACTAAAATACTCCCTTGTATCTATGCTTTTCAGTACATAACCTAAGGTTACCTGCATCACCTCAACTGAGATGGTCCTTAGACTTAGAAACTCTTATGAACTACAGCAAAACAATTTTAGCAGACTCCTGAAAATGGTGAAGAAAAATCTGCCTTTGTGATAAGCTATCAAGTTAATGCTTTTGCAAACTGAAGACTGAAAATTGCCCAGCCACAGTGACATGTGCTAAGAAGCTGAGCTCTGTACGCTGGGACCACATGGGAGGCATGGGGTCAATTTTTGATTCAACCTAGATGCTGGGCAAGGTCATAGGTGTCTATAATCCCAACAACGTGGGCACTTGGGCAGGTTGAGGCCACAACAGTGGGACTAGCATTAAAAAAAAAAAAAAGACCAAAATCTCCTCTCTGGTAAGAACATATGACGGACTGGGAACCAGCAGTTAGTGTAATGGCTATGTCGATGGACTCCCACGTAGTTGACCGCGGTTCGTGTCCCGGACCCAGTGGCTTAAAACTCACACTGGGCGCGTGTGCATGCGTGCCCAAGATCCCGAGAGGAGAATGGAGGAGAAGGGATTGCGGCGTGACCATCCCCCCTGGGGGGTGATTTCTCACTTTCTGTCTCTATGTCTCTCTCTGTCTGTCTGGCGAGGGCATGCGCCCTATAGCGAAAACCTCTCAAAAAAAAAAAAAAAGAACATATGACGGATGATCATGCAGATTTTATTAGACTAATAATATTGCAGAATTTCCCCCAATCAATGTATATTGTACATTATCTTACATTACATCTTGTCTAATGTAAAAAATAAAAGCTGTCCACATAGATTTTAATTGTTACCGTTGAAAGTGTATCCATTCTATAAGGCACAGAGTTGGAAAGTCATACAACTAATATTGTATTCAAATACTGCATTGTTTTCAGAGATGTTCAATTTCAAATTGCTTTTCATATTTTCTCACTCTTCCCAGTTGCTTAGCTTAAATTATTTAGAGACGAAAATTGCTTATTTTTCTAGAATACCATCAGAGATGTAACTTTCATTTTTTACTTTAGCTTCCAATTTCTTTAGGAACATTAAAAGTGTTGCTTGCTATCTGTGACTGTTTTCAATCTGAAAGCTATTTTAATTCTTATCTGCTGATCTAAAAGAGTAAAGACAAAAGTCAATTCTTTAATTTAGTAAAATGTTCTCTATAAAACATGAGGATATATTATGGGTTCATTTGCTTTTTGTGTGTATGATCACCCAATATCAATTTCCTTAATTTCATGCCTAGGCAGCTCTAAAGTGAATTTGTGGCTCCTTTAGATAATGACTTTATAGAAAACTCACAAGAAAATAACTGATTTGATCCCCTATGTCAAATACTAAAAGCCCATACCTGTGTTGAACAGTCCCTGAAGGAAGCACTTCTATTATACTTACAGAAAAATCAATCTTAATCTGTGCTGTAGTTTTAAAAACCATTACTTGGTTGAGGTACATCTTAAAGTATTTTCATTCAGAGTTTGACTTTAAAAATATAGATACAAAAATAGATACAAATACATTGTGCTGTTCAGTCATATGGGTTTTATAAACCAAATGTAGGTGTAAATTAGCATTGTCATAGGCCCTGCCTCAATAGAAATAAATTAGAAAAATTTTAATACACCAGGATTATAGATTTTATTCCACTGAAAAAATTTTGTTGATTAGAAAAGTGTAATTAATTGAGTTTTTGGGATAAATTATTCTTACAAAGTTATCATCCTTTGCTACTTAACAGTATATGATACCACAATGGCACACAGACCTTGTGAAAAGAAAAATGTGTCAAGAAAATGAAGCACAGTGATTACTTCAAAGAACTAGACTCATTATTTTCATACCAGGTAAAATTTAGATAAAGAGAAAAGATATAATCTATGTGATCTATTACCTATCATGAAACACAGGTGGAGTAAGTATCCCTTATGTGAAACATTTGCGATTAGAAGTGCTTCATATTTCAGATTATTCGGATTTTGGAATATTTGCATGTGCATTATCAGATATCTTGCTTATGGAATCCAAGTCTAAACGCTACATTCATTTAGTTTCATATACACTTTGTACATATAACCTGCAGTTGATTTTATGCTACAGTTTTGTATTACAACATCTTGACCATGACTCATCACAAAAGGTGAGGCATGGAGTTTTCCACTTGCAGTGTCATATTGGTTCTCAAAATGTTTTGGATTTTGGAGCATTTCATATTTAGAACTTCTGGATTAGGGATGTTCAAATTTAAAATAATGCTTGGTTAAAAAAAAAAAAAAAAAAAAAAAAAAAAAAAAAAAAAAAAAAAAAAAAAACACACACCAAAAAAAAGCAGTGATAGCTACCACACTACCAAAGTCTACAGAAGGCAATAGTGAAAATCCGAGATAATGGAGCTTATCCTGAGAAGCATAATGGCTATTTCAAGTTACTGTTTTGCTTAAATTTACATCCATATTCACTTAATCCTAGCTTTTTTTTTTTTTTTGGTTTTTGTCGTAGGGCCTATGCACTTGTCAGAGAGAGATGGAGAGAGACAGAGAGAAAGAAAGTGAGAAACAACTCTCCAGGGGTGATGGCACACTGCAATCCCTTCTCCTCCATTCTTCTCCTGGGATTTTGGGCATACATTCATATGTGCCCAGCATGATTTTCAGGCCTCCAGTCTCAGACTCAAACTGCGAGCAGCCATGTGGAAATCCAGTGCATTAACCACTACACCACCTGCTAGTCCCAATCCTAACATTTTTAATTATTACAATTTTTTACTTATTTTAACATGATGTTGCTACACTCAGTTTCTTCGGTGCCTGACTGATTTTCATTGTTAATAAAAGAAGAAAAACAAAACAAGCATAACTCTCTTGACTTTACACTTTTACTAATGTAATCAAAATTATTTTGGAAACTGATATTTCTTTCTTTTTTTTGGGGGGGGGGGTTTGCTATAGGGCGTGTGCACCCACCAGAAAGACAGGGAGAGACAGAGACAGAAAGCGAGAAATCACCCCCCAGGGGGCATGGCCACACCACAATCCCTTCTCCTCCATTCTCCTCTGGGGATCTTGGGCATGCACGCACATGCTCCCAGCATGAGTTTAAGCCACCGGGTCCAGGACTTGAACCACGGTCAACTACCTGGAAGTCCAGCCATAAAGTCATTATGCTAACTGCTGGTCCTGGAAACTGATATTTCTACAATATTATGTCAAATAATGAGAACACAATTCATTCCTGTGTCTATTCTTATATATTTTTCTATTTATATCTACTGAGTACATAGACCATCTGGAAAGTGTATTTGCAAGGCTTGTTCCATCAGGAAACTTATATTCATGTAGAAAAAAATAAGAGATTGATAAAAATAAATACAATATGTAGTAAAGTATAAAAGATCAAGGAAGAAATATTGTGTTACAATGCCAAAGGAGGTATCATTTCTAGCCTGACATTCTCCAAAAGTTTTTGACCTTAAAATAGATACATTGTTGCGATCAGCAGATGGTGTAGCAGTTATGTCACTGAACTCCCACATGGTCAACGTGGTTCAAGTCCCAGACCTGGTGACTTGAAACATACTGGGTACATGTGCGTGTGTGCCTAAGATCCCAGGAGGAGAATGGATAAGAAGAGGTTGTAGCATGGCCATCCACCCTGGAGGGTGATTTCACACTTTCCCTCTCACTGTCTCTGTCTCTTCCCCACCTCCAGCCCCCACAAATGCACATGCTCTAAGGCAAAAAGAAAAACAAAACTCTCCAACAACAACAACAAAAAAAGAATACATTATTAAATTGTGAATAATATAGAATGAATCGATGTTTTGCCAAAAAATTTATTATCAACTATTTGGCATTACAGAAATATAAATAAATAGTAAAATAATATTTTTATGGGTGGCAATCAGAGTGTAAAGGCAGTAATATCAAGCTAAGGCCTTGTTTTTCTAAGATAATAAGATATGAGATGGAGTGTACAAAAATCATGTAACATATGCCTGTAGAAAGGCAATGATTTAAAGACACTGGTTT